CTTGTTCATATACGTTCTTGGCAGATGATCCAGACGTGGTTTGCCATTGCCTTCTTCTGTGTGTGAATGGAGTAATTGTTGGGATGCCACGGAGAAACCGGGGAAGCCCCCGGAGGAAAACTCCGTGTTGCCTAGACCACGGCCTTGCCCAACACAAGTTATAAATTCGGGCACCGCCGGGAATCGAACCCGAGACCCCAGGATTGCAAGGCCAGCGTTCTATACGTAGTTAAAGCATTGGTTACTGATGGACTTCAGCCGTGGTTTCCAGCGTTTCTTCTAGGAAAACAACAGGTGGTCAGAAAATCGGTAAAAATAATGTAGTGATGCTTTTTCGAGGAATTATTTCAGTGGTAGTTTTGATAAGTGACTAGGGATTTTAAAATTCCTTTGCTGTAACACTTCACTTCAGCTTATGCTGAGTTTAAGAACTGTGCGGAGCTCTGCTTTGTTAGACGCGTGCTTATTTGTTGGCGGTGTTGTCGCTTTAGGGTAACAATTCTTGTTGGGGTCTTCTGTCGTCTGACTGTGCCTGGATCCAAAGTCGGGAATTTCCCAGCTCCGAGTTCATCGGCTAGAATAAATTACGTTCTGTGTAATTTCATATGCAAAACTGTTATGGAGTTTTTGTTACCTTCGGGCGTATAGATCTGTTTGGTAAAGTGATTTATAACTATGTTTTAAACGGCTTTACTCGGGAATACCTTCAAGAGATCCGTATGAAAATTGGAATACGCACCCAGGTGTGTGTGTGTGTTTTAAAAAGTCTCATTTTGTATTTCGTCTTTAACTTGGGATTTCCCTAATACACTGTAAACGGAGACTTGTGGAATTTCTATAGGCCTAATTCAAGAATATGTAAATGAAGTGTTTATAATTATGCCCTAGTTTATTAACGTAACGAAATGTAACAGGCTCTTGTATTCACACTAGTGGAAAGACCCGTTGAAATTCACGTTCAATAGATTTTAGGTTCTCGTGGCTGCAGTACGAAGTAGGCTGTCTTGTGGGTCTTGCTGCTTCCATCATCGCCGTGATCATCTAAAACGTTGATAAACGTGTACAGGACTACACGGTGATTCAGCCTACATGACAGCCATTTTTACGTTGATTGGTCTGTTTTATTTCATCCCTTATCGCGTTTCTTGCTTGGAATGGATGGGGTGGGTGACTTACGACCCTTACACTACGACCATTGTGAACGCCCACTTGATTTGCTGCATGGAGTCTTGCACGTCGAATGAAACACAAAAATTTGCATAGTGGGTCCTTTTGATTTCGTAAAGCTTGATTCCAGATGATGAAATATTAATTCAGCTATGGCCTCACAGTTACACGTAGCATTTGAAGCTGTTTCTTCCTTATTGTGCCATCTGTCAGACATTTGAGCATTTACCAATCCCAGTTTGAATAGAAGCCCCTTGAAATGACATGTCCTGTCAGTATTCCTGTCATTTGTCTGTGCTGGTTCCTATTTAATCCTAATAGTTCCTTGGTTCTTTAGACAGAGGATTCTTCAAAGAAACCCTTCACGTTTTCTGACCAGATGTTCACTTCTAGTGTTCATAGTTCTTCTGTTCTGCTCAACAATTCCTTCAGAGATGTCACAGGAAGATTTATGTCGTGTGAATGGATGTTCAAATGTTTTGTTGCCAACTTATCGACGATTATATTCCCCTCATTTTCCCCATGTCATTAGCACGCTGCAGTGTTCCAGCCAGTTCCATTAGCGATTGGAGGCGGTCTCAGACCAGTTTAAGTGTTAGAATGATATTTATAACGTGTCCTTAATCGCAGGTAGATTGTCTTGTGGGACGTTAATGTTCCTGCCGTGTGGCCCTACGTGTCTTGATGGCACATACTTCGGCGTGGAACACGGTGCTTTGTTATCCAAGGTTAAAGTTAGGTCTTTGCCATATTCATATACACCACTGCACCAGCGCTTTCGTTTGTTTTGAATCCATCCGTGTAGGAAAATTAGTCCACCATTTATTTCGGGTCCAAAGCCGTTACTCGGTTCACTTCTGTCATGAAATCTGGCTGTGAATGTCTTTTGTAAAATAGAACGTTTAGTTATCTAGCTTCGTCACTGAAAACTTTTAGCCATTTGCGAGCGTAAGTAAACATGCATCAAAGTCGTAAACATCAGACTGGCTAGGCTGTTATATAATGCAGATGGATGTCCATTACTCACCAAGTAAAAAACAAGACAAGTTGGGAGTTTATAACGTTATTTAATTTTGTGCTCAAATCGGCTTAGTCAAATTTATCAGAACGTGATTTTTATACATGATATGTACCTAACAAACAGTCTGTGATAAATGTTTGTTGTCATTTTTTGTTGCGTGGGTTCATATTTTGATAATTATGATTTTTCTCTTAGCTTTTTTTTTATTTTGTACTTAGTTAAAGACATAAATATACTTAATACTTAAGAAGTTCATACAGCCCACTTGTTGTAGTTCCGATGGGCGTTGTAGTAGGACGTACTGTGGTTGGTAAATAATGAATGGGCACGTGTAATTACATTTTATTAAGTAAAAAGTCATAGTTCAGTTTATTAACTCAACTTTTAAGCAAGTATTGTGCAAGTTGAGTCGCAATTAGGTTAGGATTTAAGGACGTTTTAACTCTGAAATGGACAAAGCTGCGGGTATGATCCTGAGCACGTTATATTGGAGGAGAATTTAAGTTTGTTTTTACAATTTACACTTTTCCTAAATGCTCAATATGGCTGCCGCGAGTTCATTTCAGAGTTATAATTTTTCTTTTTAAATCGGGACTTAGTTGTGACTCAACCTTTATAATGCATATAGAACAGGCATATCTCAGAACATAAATAACATACAATTCCTTATATCAGTAATACTGCCGTACAGGTCATGCGTTTGTTTATTGAAATCATATTATAAACCAAATTTTGATAAGTTGTATTCAGGTTCAGAAATGCATACAGAATTTTAGTCTGTAAACGTGATGGAAAGAAAGTTAGTAATGAACCTTTGGGATACATAGCTGAGTAACTATCAGCTTCTTAAAATTGCTCTTCTCCATGGTTTGAATAATAAATAGTAAGGACGACGAGCTGAAAGGAAGTAAGGTCAAAATTTAATACATTGTGTGAGACTGCATAACGTCAGATTCGAAGAAACTGAACATTCAGCCTATATAGATGGGCAAAATAACTAACTGTGGGCATCAGGGTGGAAAAGGGCGCCATAAAACAGTGACACTGAACATTCAGCCTATATAGATGGCCAAAATAACTAACTGTGGGCATCATGGTGGAAAAGGGCGCCATAAAACAGTGATTATAGATGGTTTATAAAGTGAATGAAGGGATAAAGTTAACGAATGGAAGCAGGATGATTGACAGAACTAATATTAATGCTACAAGCATTCAAATCTTTCTGGCAGTCAGATGCGAATTTCATTTTCACTGGACGTTTCGCTGTAGCTTGAACATATGCTCGGAGATGTATGCCCAAACTTTGTGGGGAATGAGTCCCTCTATGGTGTTGGATGATATGGGGTTAAATGTTCTTTTCGGTGATCGGGGTGTGGTTAGTTGTGGCTTGTCAGGAACTTGCTGGCGGGAGTTTTCGGCACCGAGTCGACTTTCCAGTAAACCCTGTCCAGACACATTGTCAGTAACACGTGGCCGATCATCGGGGTTTCTGGAACATTGATATCAACATGTGCTGGAAATAAGTTGTGATGTTGAAGGTAAAATACATCTGTCTCAGGAGACAAATTGACACACAACCCAGAAGATCACCTTCATCCTCACGACCTTGAGAATAATCTCAACAAAAAGATGTTGAGCAAATTTAATTTCTGTTGGTATTGGTCATGTTTAACACCTATTCCAAGTGAAGCTTATATACAGCTTTATCGATTCTTTCATGTTACAGATAATTAATTCGTGACAAAATATTAATTTCTTTATTTGTTCCTGATTGCATTTTCTTTACAAAGTTCTAGGCCTTATGTGAAACATGACAATGTTTATTTATATTTGGAAAATATACGTAGTCCATTGGAATACATCTTTCCGAGCTTGTTAAATGTATTTTTGGGAGCACTATTACCCACTTTCTTTTATTTAAGATTTTAAAAATTACGACGTATCGGAGACTTCGCTCTCTCTGTCCGTCTTCACGTAAACCATAGGCCATGCCTTAACTGCATGGCCTGATAGTAAGTGTTATTCTTCTTCTTAAGCTCCTTATAAGCAGATGCCATTGTTTTTTAAAAAAAATTAATAACGTGGCTTGTAGCGAGCGGCTTCTTACCTGAGGGACCCGGGTTCGGTGTTTGGATTAGTGAGTTTCCCCACGAAGATCACTGTTCCCATTGTCTCGTCCTGGATAAAAAACATGAACGGGTGCGTAGCGTGGAAAGTAACTTCGCTCCCGAACCTGTCGTCCAGCTGGATACCTGCAAAATCGAATCAACTCCATGTATCTGAGTTCTTTTTAGAAGCTAATAGTCGCTCATATGATCAGGAAATCCTCCGCTGTGTACGGAAGCCAAAGGTGAATTACCGCGTTTACGAGAAATCGCCACTGGATCATGTCTTGAGCCAGAATACTCCAATACACACTCTACTATACTACTGTTGCTTTAAAATGTATGTTAACATAATTCTCACATCTGTGTCTTTGTCTTCCAATTGGATCTTTTCTTTAGGTTTTCTAACCGACATTTTGTATGAAAAATTTAACTCCATGAAACTGTGTAACTGGGCCTGTGAAAGATTCGATACCGCTGACACGAAGTTCAACCCAATTCACATTGCCAAAATCAGTTTTCTTGGGGTAAAGCAAACTTTGTGAACAGGAGTTACGCTCTGAAAGCGTATTACGGAAGGAGTGGGTCTCGGATTGTTGTACTGCGTGGTAGGCTTGACGCTCTGGTCGCTTTAACCCAGGCGAAGAGCCACCTGAACGCAAGCAGTCGTACCTGTACTCGCGAATGCTGTGGTGCCTCTCTCGTTGACTTCCAGACCCGCCTTCTGGATGGCTTTGGACACGTACAGGCTTTTCTCTCGCGTCATTCCAGGGAGATTAGCTGCACTGTCGTTGAATATGTCACGGATTCCGAGCTGCGAAATTAAGAACACTAAGTTATCAATTTCAGGGACTTCTTTCCGTAGTTGGTATGTAATCAGCTGGTCAGGGAATTTACCTTTCTGTGGGATTTAGATGGAATATATTGAAAAATACATTCGAAGCATTAGTCGAAAGACATGAATGGAAGAAACGACTTGAAATACCTATGCGAAGACAGGGGGATAATATTAAAATGGGTTTTAAAGGAATGAGGTACTAGTGTTTGGACTGAATTCTGCTGGCTTAATATAGGGACTATTGGCTGGTTCTTGTGAATACGGTAATGGACCATATGTTTCTATAAAAGACGAGGAATTTCTACACTAGTTCAATGGTTAGGTTAGTTTCTCAGAAAGGGCTCTACTCAGTGGAGTTAATTATGGAACCTTGACCTGAGGCGCCGAAGTATGCCTCATTCATTCACACCTTGTTCGTGTAGGAGCCATTTTAATTGTAATTAGCCTGTAGCTAGTTCTGAGTGGTCTATTCCCTTCGAGTTTACTAATTTAAATTATGTACGTGTTTCTTATTTCCCCCATGTGGGCTGCATCCTGCACACAAATTGCCCTGGATCTTAGTAAATACAAGTGTTATCGTGCGACTTGAAAGATAGGACATGTCTGCAGGACTTCGAACTCACTGCCTGTAGGGAATTCTCGAGCCTCGCCGTGAAGTCGAAGCTGAACTTGGGCAGTCTGACTCCCACTTTGCCCTTAACCATGTGGAACAGCTGATTCCTCAACAGGGCTGGGCTTGCAGTGTTCACAAGTTTGTTCAGACCGTCTGGCTTGTTCGGTAGCACGATGAACATGGAGTACTTGTTGCCCTGCGAACAAGAAATACGTGTTACTTTACTGATGGATTTACAAACTATGGCGCGCAGGACATATGTGGCCCGCGAGCGAAGATAATATATTAGACTCCCGGCTGCGTACATTAAAATATAAAACTGCTGTAACAGAAAATACGTAAATTCCACACATGTAGACTTGAATTATTTAATAATTCACAAGTGCTTGCCCATCTTTATACTCCTTGATTTTATCGTAGCTTCTCGTTATGAAGATTTCTCCTTCCTGATATTACTGCACTCTTAAGCCCAAATATTCTTCACGTACGTACTCAAATCCCACATCCTGTTTCTGTGTACTGTTTTAAGAGCAAAACCCATGTAGGTTGTGGATTTCCCGTTCTGTAGCGATCGCTTAGGAACGAAGGAATTTGCAGTGACGTCATTATTCTTCTTCTGATTGCGTCGTTACTTCGGCAGAAGTATCTCAAGACGAAACCGTGTAAAATGTGTATTTCCAGATGTCACATTATTAGTGCGGTGATAAAGTGCGTCGTCCTTGGATTTAGCTACTTTCAGTTGAAAAACCTCGAGGACATCATTTGAGAGACAAACTTAGATGGGAGTATAATATTAAAACTGGCCACCTAGGGATGGTGTGTGAGGGTGTGCACTGTATTCATGTAGCTTAAAACAAACAAACAGTGAGATTTCAGGTTCTCACGGCGGAAAGTACTCGTATGAAGATGGACTGTCTTCCGGGAAGTTGCGTCGTATAGTCTGGTAGAAGTTTGGCGACGTTTAAGTGGTGTTTGCTGTCTCTGTTATGAGAGCTATGATGATGAAGGTGGCAAGGACCTTTGGAACGTCAGACTACACGGTGAAACTTCCCAGGGGACATTGATCTCGTGAGATAGACATGGTGACTTACCTTCAGTTCCACAAAAGGCAGGGAATTGATTGACTGAGCGATTGTTATCCTCTGTAGGAGGGCTGTGCCCCGTGGAGTTAGTCAAATATGACATCATATAGAACGGGAGAAACTTACGTATTGAGCAGTTTCATAACTTCTCACTTGAAATTGTCAAGGTCACCAAGTCAAAGAGGGTCAGATGGGTGGCCGGTGACAGAATGTTCCCTGGCCGAGACGTGAACTTCCCGATTACAAAGCAGGGCTGTCCCAGGACTCACCATGTATGGCAGCCTCAGTATCGAGGACTCCAGCTCCACGGACTCCGTCCAGTACAGATCGCGTTCCATGGTCATGTAGGGAACGGTGACGCTCTGGCTGGGAGTCACCTGGAATTTGCCAGGCCGCGTGTAGGACTCGTTGAACGGGTAACGCCACAACCCCTTGAAGTAGATTGCGTTTACCAACAGCAGCACGGTGGATGGGTTTACCGTATCTGCAAGCAGTTAGTAATATGATTATCTAAGCGAAGACCAAAATTTGCTGTGCATTTCTTATATTTTCCATGCTAGACGTAGAAGGTTGTGGTTTTACGATTACTCTTAAGGCCGAAGGTCCTTAGCACTGTTTCCGTGATAGTAGTTATAATAATTTACGCACACTGTTTACGTGATAGTAGTTATAATAATTTACGCATAACAGACACATAGCAATAAACATTATCCCGTTATTGTTATTATCATTATTATTACGTAAGATGCAAGTTGGGCTTGGAGATGAAGAAGAAACTAGTGAAGTGTTACGTATGGAGCAGAGACTTGGACACTCAGGAAGAAGGAACAGAAATACCTGGAGAGTTTTGAAATGTGGTGTTGGAGAAGAATAGAGAAGATCAGGTGGACGGATCGAGGGACCAACGAAGAAGTATTGAGGAGAGTCAAAGAGCAAAGAATCATTCTGCAGGCGATTACACGAAGGAAAGCTAACTGGCTGGGACATATTATGAGAAGGAAGGGGTTACTGAGTGAGAAAAAAAATTATCGATTTTGTACGTAGCGTGATACTTCGTTCAACAGTGGATTTGCGTTTGTAATAAATGAACATCGAGGTCAGGGGTATGGAAAATTGTAAAGAGCATATTTGGAAAAAAAAAAAGTGTGCTCCGAGCTGGAGTACGCCTTTGTAGTCTTGTGGCGTGCTGGTTTCAAGTGCTTACCTGCAGAGAACATGGTTTTGATTTTGCCATTTGTGATCTCACTGACCCACGAGTTCACTGTCTCTACTGCCTTTGAAGACTCTTGGAAGTCGATATTATGGATGCTTGCGTTGTAGAAGCTTTGCAAGATCTTTGAGAACCGAGGTCTCGTAGTCACATCTTTACGCACGTACATCCTTGTTCCCACGTGCAATAGGTACTCTGGCTTCTTCGTCTGCAGAGAAAAAAAATTCGAAACAAGCATTTGTTACATGTTTAAATCCACGCGAATGGTAGCTGCTCTAAAATAGACCACGACCACTTTGTACATGATCATCATCTCTGATCATTCGACGAAAAATTGTCTTTCAGTTTGATACAGTGTGTGTAAATCGTTAGGAATCAGCCAATACTTGTTCTGTCTAAAAGAACTGTGGGTTGCGTGGATTTCCATGTTTAAGACGCTCGGATCGTGACTTGAAATGACCTCAGTGCCAAGGTCATGTGGTACCCCATATCGATTGTCTTGTCGTGACTGGTCACAAGGTAATCTTCACCTACGCCTCTCATTATTTCGCAACGTGCACGAATAGTCCTTGGAGTGGCATTATGGGGATGGTTGTGTGAGGATGGATGGACCAGAGCGTGGATGGAGGGTTGAGAGTTTTAAGAAGTTAATATGTGGATGAATGGACAACTTATTGGTTGGTGAGGCGCGTATCAGACGCTGTCAACTGGATCACGTACCAGTAAGGAGTCGAGAACGGCGGTGAACTTCTTACGGGACTCCAGCCTCTGTGGAAGGTTCAAGGCCTGCCCCAGCTGCAGGGCCGTGTTGCCCGCAGCCCCCTCGTACAGCATGGCGAGCAGAAGCTTTATGCTGACCGGGGACACCACCATATTCCCAGTCTCCTCGTGTGCCATGTGCTGATGCGATCCGAAACAAAACAAACAAAAAAATTGTTTCGTGAAGATCAGAGTATATAAGAAACTATTGCTCTTTTCTTTATTTTATGTGGGTGTGAAACCTGGTTTTCATCCTAAAGGCAGAACGCAGTTGTCGAGAGACAATAGGACAAGTTTGGGATTTGAGGTTCTCAGAGCAGTGAACATGACGGTGTTATTCTAAGTTGTGACTCTGGGCCGAATCCCTGAGGATGGAGACAGTATGTTTCTCAGAAAAGTTTGGAATGTGCCTACGTGTCCTCTCGGCGACATAACCCAGAAGAACATCGTCAGTAGGACAAGTTTATTTCGATTGCTAACACCACTCGCTAAATTCAGTCAAAGCAGAAGAGTTATTTTTAAAGTCGATATATCTTTTTCTCTCTGTATCTCTCGCCACAGGTTCTTTACAGATTATGCCTGTCATGCGATGGACAAGATTCGGAAGTCCGATCTGGAACCATTTAAATTGACTTATGTCGTTCTTAGCTTGTGAAGTCTTAAACTATAAAACAGCGGACTCTCACCTTACAGAGTTGCCAGTCGAAAACGTCGAAATTTCCTTCATTGGTCGGGGGAACAAACAAGTCGTCGTCGTAATAATCAAGATCGAGAGACGCTTCGGAAGAGGCGTCTGCAGGCGCGGCGCCAGCTACCCGCAACACCACCAGCAGGACTGCGACATAGGATGATTGGTTATTATTTGTTGTGCGAAAAAATGGGAGGGGGGACGCCTGAAATACTACAGTGTCTTTGAATTTGATCTCCTGTCGGAGTTACTTTCTGTATAAGAATGCCCCAAAAAGATGTATACATATTATAATACGGAGTATTAACCTTGTGTGTATATGTTACCGGCGATGTATAGAATGCTTAAAGTCAGTAAACAAAGTATGAAATAAATTGTAATGTTAATATTGTTTGGTTGTTTAAATTAAAATTTATCTAAGTCGATTGGGTAAGCTGTCAAGATGGAGGTTGTCGCGAAAAGCTACTGAATCTGAACATAACAAAAGTTTTGATAATTAAAACAAATTGTTTTATATTAAGATTTTTGCAAATATAAAAAAATAAAACAAAACTGTATAAATCGTATTATAGAAACTTCTTTGTTATATAGTTTGCCTAAAGAATCTGAGGCGTTTTATAAAATTCTTAGTTATTCTATAGAATACCTAGGCAAAGTATAAAATAAGCTGTTAGTTTTATACACTGCCTAAAAGTTCTAGGCATTCAATAGAATGCCTGAATTTCATAGTTTGCCGGTAACATATACATCTTTTGGGGACATGCTGTACATATATAGAACGTCGCTTATGATTACGTGTATTTGCGTTGGGTATGCAGTGACTTGAGTACGGATAATGAATCTGAAGATGGATTAGTTACTAATCTAAAAACGTAGACATCAGTGGGGGACTGTAAAAACTGTGAGAATTAACCAATATATAGTGTGTGAATGTGACGGTGATTAACAAAAATGGGAAATTTCGAAACCCCTACTATTGTGTTCTCGTCTTAGGAATAATGATGCTCAGAGTCTTAAGCCCAAGAAAGAATTGGAAATTTCGTCTTTCAGAAATGGAGAGGGTTTTCCGTCTGGCAGTATTGTGTGAGCAGACTAACGTTAAAGTACGGTATTTTAAAACCCGCATGAAGTCAAATGGGATTAACCGGTTTCAAGTGAATGCTCGTCCATAAGCGGGTAAATCAGCTCTGTACCTCGCGTCTTCTGACTTCCTGAAGTTTTATCAGAGAAGGTTCGTAGGTAATTTGAGTGTCAGCTTGCTTTAAAATATTGGAATAATAACGTTTGGCCACTATTTGTTCTTCTTGTGAGTAGTGTCTAGCTACACAGTTTCGGACCAGACTGAATTTAACCCCACATAAGGCGAAGTTCCTTTGGGTTATCTGATAAAAGTATTGTACCAATTTCAATCCCCCCCATGCACTCTAAATGATCGTCCCATCTCATGCTTGGTTTTATCATCGTAATAATATTAGAGGAAGAGTACAAATTATGCAGCTCCTCATTTTGTAATTTTCTCCAGTTTTATCACGTCCTCCCTCTTGCCCTGTTCTCAGCGGACGTGACTGATTAATATACATTATATATTTTTTGTGTGATGTGAAATTTCATGTTGAATGTCTGCCAGTAATCGTAATTTATTTATTAACACTCGGCTACTTTCTGAGACCGGTTTGGCCTTCGGGGTTTAATCGACTGTGTCCTTAAATCTATATATGACTAACGGTTTAAATAGTGTCGTCTCTTCAATTTTGGCTTCCTAACTGCGCTTTTTAAACTGCAGAAATTATATCGCCAGTGCCAGGGTGAAAGCGTGTGTATAATTGGAAAGTATGATTGGTGCTTTACAACTTACATTTTATGTTGCCGGTGATTTAGAAAAACCAAACCTTCGGCCTTAATTTCTTGTCTGAATTGAAAATATTGTTTCTATACGTATTTTTTAATTAATTAATATGATTTGTGATAATTTCCCCAAAATTATTTTTCGTTTTCTTATCTTTTAGGACTTATCCTTGCACCGACGAAAAAGCTTCGAATGAAATTGCTACTGGTGGATAGTCAAGGACTTGGAAGGAAGTTTGGCCCAATTCGGTGCATTTTTTTTTTGGAAGGGTCGAGGTAAACGAAAACCCACAGTAAGGATTTCCGACCCTGAGCGTAAGGTACTGTCTTGTCCGCGTCGTTTAATCGAATTTGTACAGCTCCCATTAAATAGGCGAATTCTTTCAAAATCCCAAATGCTATCAGAATCTGTTAATTAAAACAGATGTTATTGCGTGCCCATAAACAGACTGACATGTCTATATTAAAACCAGTAAAGACGTAGCTGGATGAATTTTGTTGTCAAGAACGTCTTCTCCTTCGTCACAGTTGAACTGAATGGAAGATGTGGGTGGGTCTTCATGTAGCAGTTGGTAGATGTTGCTTCTACATCGAATATCGAGACAGCAAGTTTACTCGAAACGTTGGTACATTTGCTACACGATGTCACAGAACGCGTCGTATAACAATAAATGCTGTGGTTGTGAAGTCTGATAATACGCCACTGAACTCACCTGCCAGATGTGGTCCAGCAACTGCAAACTTCGCCATGACAACCGCCTGTGAATGTGTGCAGTCGATCGGTCTCTTTTGTTTGTTTACTGGGATGGCTTAGCTGGGCGCTGGAAGACTGCGAACCTGACAGATGTGTGTGTGTGTTTATTACGGTACGTTACCTCCCCCCACCCCTCCCGTATCCTCTTCTCCTCAAGATACCAGTCCTTCCTCTTGGAAAATCCCATAATCGTCATCGGGTAGGTGCTATTGCTTATGGTGCGTGATGTCTTGTGAGCTCTGACAGATTTGCATCGGCCGCTGGCTCTGTGACGTCAGGAATGGAATTGCATACAGAAGGAGAGAAGAGAAAGAAAGGAATGGAAGAAAGAAAAGGTATAGCTGAGAAAGAAATGAAGAAAGAACTAGAATTTGGAGAAACCCCAAAGGAAAGGAAGATCAATGATACGGGAAGAATTTATGATTTATATAACGACACTTTCAGTATAATTCATGCTAAGCAGCGTCTAATGATCTGAAACTAACGAGTAATGAATTGAAAAGGATATGGAAGGAATCGGTAGTGGCTTAGTTTAGGGCAGGTACTCTCCTGGCATCTGCTTGGGAAGACGCTAAAATTCTCAAGTCACGATAGTCGGTCTCTGGGGCGAGATTTGAACCCAGGGCCTGCGAAGTAGGAGCGGTAGAAACAAATATAATGTAGGGAGAAATGACGAGGAGGCCAGTGTTCTGTTCGACTCCAGGAGATGGCCGCGTTGGTCTCTTGGTTGTAACGTTGTGTGCACTTGCAGATAATTGCCGACGTATCGTAGGATCATAACTGCATTCCTTCTTCCGTGTGGAATTTATGACAGACAAAATGCCACCTGAACATCTTCATACTAGTCGACGTGAGAACCTAAAACCTCACCAATTGTGTCTTTGTTTTCATTATTCCCCTCCAAAGTATTTGATATATTCGTTGTTATCTTTATCAGAGATTCCAAGTCTTGTTCGCTCTGTATTAACCAAGCGACGTCCAATGCAACTGTCAGTTTGATAAAAGGCTGGAAGATGGCTGTAGGCTGGGTTGTGGCACAGTGTGGTCTGGTAGAAGTTTACGAACGTTCCGGAGGTCCTCGCTGCCTCCATCATCAGGGCGATTAGTAGTAGGTAGCGCTACAACCCAGAAGACAGCCATATTCGTAGTCACCGCTTGAGAACCTCAGATCCTAGTTCATGATGGGCAGTTTCCGTGTCGGCAAGATTTTCGGTACAGTCAGTTTGTGTCTGCATAATTAGCATGGATTCATTTTTGTTATTGACTCCTCTGAAATCAGTGGATACCACTGATGTCATGGTGACGGACTTGAATGTCTGTAATGAGTTCGCTGTGATTCGGGGAAACCATGTCCAGGGAGCCATTAGTTGCAAGTTGTCTTGCATAGCTGCGGGTTATAACCCTGACACCGTGCCCAGGTTCTTCAGCGGATAAGAGTGAACTAAGCAGCGGGAATCCCGCAGCCCAGAGTCGTACCCAGGGCAGAATCACTGACGAACGCTCAGAATATCGTGACTGTGTGATTTGAGGTTCTCTGCTGTGGTCTTCTGGGTTGTTGTTGTTGTTGAGCTGTGTGGTACGTGGTTGCCAACGTTTCGGAAGAACACATAGCCTACATTTTCAGGGTGTATTTTTCGTATTTTCTCGTCATTCCCTCCCAGCGTTCACAGACAATAAATTCTCCGTATCTACGTGCAAGATAGACAAGAATCCTGCTATAACCACAATCACAAGCAAAAAAGTTACGATAGCATCGGATCGCGCTTTGTACTGACTAAAGTTAGGCCACTGTTCCGTTGAACTGCCCCTCATGTTAATGTTAATTCTATGTACCAACCGTGACCTATCTGGATATTATGCTTAGTATTTCCGGTGCTGATCACGCAGCTTCAGTTTTAAAAGTCTTGTGGTTTGATTGAGTAATGTACAGCTTTTCAGCATTGATAGAGGCGTATTTTAAATTAACTCTGTGAGAGCCAGACTGTCTCTGGGGCTCGCCAAGCCTCTTATCCAGTGGAATTTGGGGCTTTTTTCTTTCTTTCTTTCCGATGACAAAGCGGACTGCTCCCCGTCATCTGGTGCTGAGGTAAAGAAAGGTTGGAGCTATACCTCCACTCCCCTGTTAGCTTTCGCGGTGCTTCATAGCTTTAGGAGGATATCCACACCTTTATTTAGCCGCATGTCACTGTTAAGGAGATAAGCTGTGGGAAAAGCCACTCGTCGTCATCTTCCGATTCCAGTAATCCGAACTTCAGTAAAATTTGTTTATACATTTCATTGTATTTCTGTACTTTGTGTCTCGTTGAAGAATATTTATTTTCCTCCGTGTAATTTCCTGTGTGTGTGTTTTTTTTTCGTGTGAAGAAAAAAATATACCGGCTCCGACCTCGATATAAAATTTTACGAACAATTTCTATACCTTGTGAGCCGCCGGCGGACTCGCGATCAGGGAGATTTCAACGACGAGTTCAGCCACATCCTGTGGGAATAAATCTTTGTAACTTTGGCCACGGTCGCGATCAGGGAGATTCAACGACGCGTTGAGCCACGTGGTGTGGGAATAAATCTTTGTAACTTTGGCCACGGTACCTTAAGAATACAGAATCGTCTACAAATCAACCGATTTCTGCAATAACCATTGTACGTAATTTATAAGTCTAAAAAGTAGGCTGATGATTCACGTGGTGGTGATGAAATCTCTTACGGTGCCATTTACCATTTTAGTAGGTTTACACTTATTAATACATATTGAGCTTTTATGAAGGAGTCGGAGTCGGAGATTTTAGCACCGACTCCACAGCCAGAAGTAGAGCCTATTCATATTTTTCGGTTGGAAATTCTTGAGGGTGAAACAGTTCGAGTGAACTGGATGTAGTGGGAGGATAATGTAGAGAAACTAGATTGGACTGATGCAGGATGGGGGTCCAATGACCTGCTTTTGTGACGACGTTAATAATCATCCGAGTTTCCTATCATGCAGTTCATTAATATGCAGAATAACTGTTTTTAATACTCGCATGTTGGTATAAACATTTTATGGGTGTGAAAATCCTTAATTTGTCTTGGATTCAGTGAGTCGTAGTTTAAACACGGACAGATTTTCTTGCCATGACTAGCCAGACCGACCCTGGGTCCCACGCTTTCCCCTATCCAATGGATTCCAGGCGTAATTTCCCCGGGGATCAGCCAATCCGGGAGCGTCAGTTTAACTTCATATAGTACCTCGGTTAAAAAATAAACCATAGAGTTTTGTTTTTATAGGTTTTTGTATTTGTAACGTAAATATTTCAGTGGTCCTGATGACGCTGGTTTACACGCCACCATCTTTAGATTATTTCTCGCCTTGCGTCCTTCAGACAATAATATCGCGTCTACAGAGCTGCAGAATTTTATGCCTAAGACACAGTTCCATACTTGTAAGGAAACTTCCCTTCTAGACCGGAAGTGAAATAGTCGTTTCCGTTTTTAAGTCTCGCGGATGTTTGCAAGCTGACCGCTGCAGTGGGCAGGAAAACCAGTGACTTGTATTATCACGTGACCCAAATTGAAGCTTTGGGCGCAATCAATGAGAGATTAGATTTAATGAAAATGTGTGTGCAGAACGTGTAATTCATACTTTGCACTTGGAAGTTTCAGCCGTACACCCTCCCATCCTTTTCCAATACTGAGTCTGTGAGAAATGTATTAGATTTATGCGTTTTCCAGGAACGTAACTAAGGCATTAAGTCAGATTGTATGCCTGTGTTTAGTGTAATTATTTATGCCTCTAGTAATTTTCTGTTATCTTAACGGCTCTCGTTATCTTACAATTTGGCTGTTAATGTGAAAATCATAGTTCTGACGACGACGACGATATAGCTTATAACCAATAACTGTGAAACACGCGCCTCTGAGGAAACAAAGGGGAGATGGATGGACAGGATGGTAGAGGTATTGACGTTAATGGAACATTCACGAACTTTACACTTCGCCATCATTTTTGTTATAATGTGACTAAAATTAAACAGATGATGTGGAAAGGAGATGAAGCACACACAGCAGGATTTGAGATTTCCACGGCACTGAGCCCCAAGATGCCTCATAGCCCTGGTTACGAGGCAGCAAGGACCTCTGTAACGCCTGTAAACTTCAAACCAGACTACACGGCGCAGAAATCCAGAAGATATCCTCCAAAGAAATGCATACACAATTTTGATTGAAAATCCTCAAGGAAAGATGCCTAAGGGAAGATAATATTAAAATGTATCAAATATATTTTTTATATGCGAAATGAATTGAGATGTGCTTTTGTACACGTGCTGATGATTTTATGGTCAGCTAAGGAACCATGACCTGAGGGTTTTTCTATTAAAAAACATTTTTCCGTCTGACGACAGGGCTTTGAAACGCGCGGAAGGGTGGATTTTATAGCAGGCTATGTTAACTGTTTGTGGTAGTGCGTGGGGAAATTTTTAAAGCCCGCATATCCTGCTCGCCCTGCATCTCAGTGTAACACTTACAGTCCTTGTTACACTGATATGATTTCAGCACTAATCAGTATTGCAGCCTGCTGTTATTCTACTGATATTTTATCTGTATTTCCGTGTTCTTTTACTTTCTCTTTCTAGGTAATAAACCCATAAGATTAATATAAATGTGGAAATATTGATAAAATTCGAATTTCACAACTTTATGTGTTTTCATACTCAGAAACTGAAAGGATAATGCTTAAAATGCTGGAATCAATGAAGAAAATGTTTTAAAGCCTTAGCTTCTAGAATTTCTAAGTGTTTCGCCATGCAAAATCCAGAACTGTTAATACACGTTGTAAGTGTTTCACCATACAAAATCCAGAACTGTTAATACACGTTGAAATTACAGAGACAGTGTTGAGATGGCTCGACCTACAATTTCCTACAAAGTACCGCAGGAGCTGACAATGATTTGAGGATGTAAAGTGGATTAAAATGGCTCACTGTATTATCTTTTGATGGGCTTTTATGACTGCGGTAATGAACCTTTGGATTTCATAACAAAATCGTCATAATCATGAGTTGTTTGACAAGGTCATGTTATCACTGTTTTTGGTAGATCTACCTTAGAAACTTCAGATATTTTCTTATGTCTTCAGCCTTTCATTTGGTTTTGAGGTTCAAGAATATTAAATAGGGAGAATTAGAAATATGCATAATGATAACTTTTGCAAAAATGATTTATTTGGTGGTTAATTTAATGATGCACTCAGTAACTTGGACCATTTAGTGTTGATTGATAAATAGTGAATTGGAAAGGTTATTTAAGTAAACTGTTGTGGCCCAATTTGAAGCAGTATCATGGAATTTGCTTGGAATCACTGAGGATAACCATGAAAAACCTCAGTCAGTATAGCCAGTCTCTGCCCTGAGATTTAAACCCAGGATCTCCCAAATATGAAGTAGGAGTGCTAGACACAGGGCTATGACATTTGAAGCTGAAGGTGTTAAATAGTTTCTAAATACACTAAAAATTATGGATAAATATTTTTAAAACATTATTGAAAATTGTAACCGCATATTTGGGCAAGTGCAGATTATATATCAATATGTGTTTTTTATGTTGAGCAGGCGCAGTGGCCACGCGATCTGAGGCGTGGACCTCGTGCGCCTGGCCGCTGCGACCGTGGGTTCGAGGATGTTTGTCCGCGTCTTTCTATGTTTGTATAGGTGGAAGCCTTGCAGATAGGGCTGATTACTCTTACAAGGAGTTCTACCAATGTCCAAAAAAATAGATCAGTCATAAATCTCCAAGAGAGGTAAAAATGCAGACGCTGCAAATGCGGGACAAATGCGAATGAAGAATAAAAAAGAAAGGTGCTATGTACTCTATTGTAGATATTAATAAATGCGATCTTGTCCACAGATCCTCCACATCCTGGACTGTTGACTCTGTGGCAAAATGGGTCAGAAGAGCTTCGATGGAGGGTGTTCTGTGCAGCTGTTTCACCCCGACTTGACCACAGATTACTGAGGGAACTCTCCCCACACCTTGTCGTTCCTGCTGCAGTGCTTGCTTACCTCTATCATGTAAGCAAAGTCATTGAAAATAGCACATGGCTTCCTTCTTATTATTCTCTTCTTTATATGTTAAGCTGACATATAAGTCTTAGTATTTCATTTCATCTATCTTCCTTCCACTTTGTAGGCGTAGACTGATCTTGGGATACCGGAACTAATGTATTATTTTGAATTGGTTTTCACTATTCAGTCACTTAGACCAAACAGATCATGAGTAGTCCTATTCAAAACTCCTGCTAACATATTAGAATGAATACAGATTATTTTAGGTGCATCGGTTAATACTGTTATTATTATTGAGTGTTCCGTCTTACGGCAGGTCCATTGCTCTGCCCAAAAAGAGCTCTCCAGTTGTCCATATTCTCGGCTTCTCGCTTTAATTCCTGGAACGTCATCTTCTTTCCTTGTTTAAGGTCGTCGGTTAGCTGTATCAATCTTCTTCCTAGTCCTCTCTTTCCTTCAACCTGGCCTTCGGTGATATCACTCA